ACATTAAATATTTGAGCGTAACAATTTTAACAAAGTATTGCAATAGCAATCATAAATATGAATGCTGGTCGTTATTTTACGAAGTAGGGGAGTACAAATGAAAATATTTGAAATTGACAATTTTTTTATTTTTCTTTCTTTCTTTCTTTCTTTCTTTCTTTCTTTCTTTCACTGAAACCAAGTAAGGACCTTTTTCTCCTCTTTCCACGCGATCAAAACGGAATAGTCCATTATTTATGAAATATTGGCAAGAGACGTTAAACACATTTATCTTTCTTTCTTTCTTTCTTTCTTTCTTTCTTTTTTTCTTGCTTTCTTTCTCTTACTGAAACCAAGTAGTGTCTTTTCTCTTCTTTCTACGCGATCAAAACGGAATATTCCATTATTTATGAAGTATTGACAGGAGAAGTTAAACACTCTTATCTTTCTTCCTTTCTTACTTTCTTTCTTTCTTTCTTTCTTTCTTTCTTTCTTTCTTTCTTTCTCTTACTGAAACCAAGTAGTGTCTTTTCTTCTCTTTCCACGCGATCAAAACGGAATAGTCCATTATTTATGAAGTATTGACAGGAGACGTTAAACACGTTTATCTTTCTTTCTTTCTTTTTTTCTCTTACTGAAACCAAGTAGCGTCTTTTCTCCTCTTTCCACGCGATCAAAACAGAATAGTCCATTATTCATGAAGTATTGACAGGAGACGTTAAACACTTTTTTCTTCCCTTATTTCTTGCTAGCCAATTCCCCGTCTTACGAATATTTTTCTTAATAATAATTTAAAAATAATTCAGCAGACGATGTTATTTCATGCATAGAAAATGACAAAGCTTATTAAGAGTTACAAAAGACCGGAAATTGTAGTGAGCCATAATCTCCCACGTCCCAAAAAAAAGGACAAGAAGAAGAAGAAGAAGAAGAAGAAGAAGAAGAAGAAGAAGAAGCTATGATTGCATTAGTATGAAATTAATTATTGAAAAAAAAAATGTTCAGGAATACCAGAATTATGTTGATAAAAGAAAAAGAGTGGAAATGTCTGAGATCGTTGCAAGAGGGATTAAGAAAACGAACAACTAGAAACGTAGACAGAGCTTGTGATTAATGAGTACGCTCCTCACTGAGTGACTCATGCGTATAGCCATGTGTTAAAATTAAGTTACCTTTAATTAATGGCAACTATACTAGTAGACAAGCATAAGAGGAAGAAGCAAAGTGAATTACGGTAATAAAAAAGCACAAGAAAAATTAGAATAGAAAGAAAAGGAAAATAAGTAGGCGGCGAAAGGTAGATAGAAGGAAGTGGAAAGAAATAGAAAAAAACAAGAAGAGAAAGAAGGAACAGATACTGAGCAAGATGAAGAGGAGAAATGATATTGAAGAAGACGAAGAGAAGAAGCGACAGAAGAAGTAATATAATGAAGAAGACGAAGAGAAGAAGCGACAGAAGAAGTAATATAATGAAGAAGACGAAGAGAAGAAGCGACAGAAGAAGTAATATAATGAAGAAGACGAAGAGAAGAATCGACAGAAGAAGTAATATAATGAAGAAGACGAAGAGAAGAATCGACAGAAGAAGTAATATAATGAAGAAGACGAAGAGAAGAATCGACAGAAGAAGTAATATAATGAAGAAGACGAAGAGAAGAATCGACAGAAGAAGTAATATAATGAAGAAGACGAAGAGAAGAATCGACAGAAGAAGTAATATAATGAAGAAGACGAAGAGAAGAATCGACAGAAGAAGTAATATAATGAAGAAGACGAAGAGAAGAATCGACAGAAGAAGTAATATAATGAAGAAGACGAAGAGAAGACGACAGAAGAAGTAATATAATGAAGAAGACGAAGAGAAGAATCGACAGAAGAAGTAATATAATGAAGAAGACGAAGAGAAGAATCGACAGAAGAAGTAATATAATGAAGAAGACGAAGAGAAGAATCGACAGAAGAAGTAATATAATGAAGAAGACGAAGAGAAGAATCGACAGAAGAAGTAATATAATGAAGAAGACGAAGAGAAGAATCGACAGAAGAAGTAATATAATGAAGAAGACGAAGAGAAGAATCGACAGAAGAAGTAATATAATGAAGAAGACGAAAGAAGAACGACAGAAGAAGTAATATAATGAAGAAGACGAAGAGAAGAAGCGACAGAAGAAGTAATATAATGAAGAAGAAGAGAAGAACGTAATATAAATGAAGAAGACGAGAAGAATCGACAGAAGATATAATATAATGAAGAAGACGAAGAGAAGAATCGACAGAAGAAGTAATATAATGAAGAAGACGAAGAGAAGAATCGACAGAAGAAGTAATATAATGAAGAAGACGAAGAGAAGAATCGACAGAAGAAGTAATATAATGAAGAAGACGAAGAGAAGAAGCGACAGAAGAAGTAATATAATGAAGAAGACGAAGAAGAATCGACAGAAGAAGTAATATAATGAAGAAGACGAAGAGAAGAATCGACAGAAGAAGTAATATAATGAAGAAGACGAAGAGAAGAAGCGACAGAAGAAGTAATATAATGAAGAAGACGAAGAGAAGAATCGACAGAAGAAGTAATATAATGAAGAAGACGAAGAGAAGAAGCGACCGAAGAAGTAATATAATGAAGAAGACGAAGAGAAGAAGCGACCGAAGAAGTAATATAATGAAGAAGACGAAGAGAAGAAGCGACCGAAGAAGTAATATAATGAAGAAGACGAAGAGAAGAATCGACAGAAGAAGTAATATAATGAAGAAGACGAAAGAAGAATCGACAGAAGAAGTAATATAATGAAGAAGACGAAGAGAAGAAGCGACAGAAGAAGTAATATAATGAAGAAGACGAAGAGAAGAATCGACAGAAGAAGTAATATAATGAAGAAGACGAAGAGAAGAATCGACAGAAGAAGTAATATAATGAAGAAGACGAAGAGAAGAAGCGACAGAAGAAGTAATATAATGAAGAAGACGAAGAGAAGAATCGACAGAAGAAGTAATATAATGAAGAAGACGAAGAGAAGAAGCGACAGAAGAAGTAATATAATGAAGAAGACGAAGAGAAGAAGCGACAGAAGAAGTAATATAATGAAGAAGACGAAAGAAGAAGCGACAGAAGAAGTAATATAATGAAGAAGACGAAGAGAAGAAGCGACAGAAGAAGTAATATAATGAAGAAGACGAAAGAAGAAGCGACAGAAGAAGTAATATAATGAAGAAGACGAAGAGAAGAAGCGACAGAAGAAGTAATATAATGAAGAAGACGAAGAAGAAGCGACAGAAGAAGTAATATAATGAAGAAGACGAAGAGAAGAAGCGACAGAAGAAGTAATATAATGAAGAAGACGAAGAGAAGAAGCGACAGAAGAAGTAATATAATGAAGAAGACGAAGAGAAGAAGCGACAGAAGAAGTAATATAATGAAGAAGACGAAGAGAAGAAGCGACAGAAGAAGTAATATAATGAAGAAGACGAAGAGAAGAAGCGACAGAAGAAGTAATATAATGAAGAAGACGAAGAGAAGAAGCGACAGAAGAAGTAATATAATGAAGAAGACGAAGAGAAGAAGCGACAGAAGAAGTAATATAATGAAGAAGACGAAGAGAAGAAGCGACAGAAGAAGTAATATAATGAAGAAGACGAAGAAGAAGACGAAGAGAAGTAATATAATGAAGAAGACGAAGAGAAGAAGCGACAGAAGAAGTAATATAATGAAGAAGACGAAGAGAAGAAGCGACAGAAGAACTAAGAGATCGAAGAAGACGGAGAAACAACAAAAAGAGGAACAATAGGAGGAGGTGAAAAAGCCGATTGGTTGTGAAAACAATGGGAAGAACAGGACGCATATCGACCCGAAAACGCCCCCAAAATGTCTGAAACACTTCCTTTCCGATTTCCGAAGCTTTTTGGAATCGAAATCGAAACGCGAATCGTCTACCCAAAGTAATTACTCTGTAATGGATGGGATTCGGCGTTCAGAACGAATTTGCGCCATGGTTGCCAAAACAGTATTTCCAGGGCGTTATTTGTCGGAAATGGAAGTGGTCAATTGAACGAAAAGACCAAGCAGGATGTAGACATCCCGAAATAGCTCAAATAGAAAAGAAACAAAAGATCCCATTTCCAACTGTCTGCTGCTCAAGACGGATGTAGACTTTGTAGACAGGACAGACACTCTGTTTCTTTTTATCCAGCTTCATACTTGGACTCTATAAAAGATATTCTATGAGTATTTGGATAGAGAACGTTCGTTCAATGTCCCAATGTTCATATGTATATATATATATATATATATATATATATATATATATATAATTTATTCGAAAATTCCGACATAAATATGTTGTAAAATCACTACAAAAATAGCCATTATGTTTCAACACATCACTTGATAAGACACCAGAATTGTTGAAACAAAATTGCTATTTTTGTAGTGATTTTATAACATATTTATATTATGATTTTCGAATAAATTATATTTGCTCTACTCTGTATCTATCACTCTATTAAGAATAAATAGTACTCTTGTAAAGAATGACTATTACTGCTAATCATGCAAGACTCTTTGTTAAAGCGAATCGAGTTCTCTCAGTTACTGTTTATTTATCTAAAAATAAATACGCTTAAATTCCCCTTCATCCCCCCAGTGCACCAACGGCTTAGGTGTAGAATATCCAACTGACACCAATTCAGCCGAGCTTAGATCGTAGCTACGGGTAACCGGGCGCCTAGTCACACGGAAGAGCTGTGATACAGCGAAATAGTCTCTGGATGATAGTGTGTATATATATATATATATATATATATATATATATATATAAAGAATTATAGTTTTAATCTGTGCTGTATTTCTGGGATAAAGTGCTTAATATCAGAGATAGAGCGTATGTAAATATAAAAGTGAACATTGTAATCAACACTCAGAGGCGACATGCTGTTTTATGCTAGATGTCAGACCGCGAATGTTGTTTTTTTTCTCGACTATTTATATATATGGGTCAGTTGGTGCATTGTGGGTAGTCCATTCTGGCGGTTATTTTGGCGGGAGTGGTTTGTTTATTTACTTGTTTATTTATTTGGATTAAATTATTTTACTTGTTTTTATTTATTTACATTTTTTATTCTATATATTTATTTATTCTTTTCGGTTTTCGATGTTTTATTAACGCAGTAAAAATTTTTTGGATTTGCTTAGGTCGCTTATTTAATAATTTGTTTTGGTCTGGGGAAGATATTTAAAGCTGTTCGTCCAATTTCTGGATTGATTGCTGTAGTCTATTCTGTTATTTTAGGGGGAGGTCAGTTTTTAATTTATTTATTATTGTATTTATTTATTTGGATTGATTATTTTTACTTGTTTTTACTCATTTATTTTTGTTTTTATTTGTTTTAACGGTTATTTTAGCGGAAGCGGTTTGTTAATTTGTTCATTAATTTTAAATAAATAAATGAACAAATAATTCCATTCATGGGGAAATAAAATATAATCTATGGACCCTTAAGGTTGTCTGTTTTTTAATCTAACTAATATTCGCCCTGTTTTTACATTGAACTCTCTGGATTACATCCTCATTGGGATTATCCATACGGATTACCAGACATTTCATTACTTAACTATATATATATATATATATATATATATATATATATATATATATATATATATATATACGTGAGCAATTAACGTATTTTCAATTCGGCAGCAATTGTTATTAATATAAATAATATGGGATGCATAGTCAAACATGTATACACAGTAAAATGGAGCTTATATTGATAGGAATATATATTACAAAATATTCCCCAAATACAAGGCCCAAGTGTCACTCAGGATAGAGGCTCACTAAATGAGGATGTTGTATGCGCGTAATAAGATAAAAATAAGCGCAGATTATGAGATTTAGGATAGATAATGATTGAATCTAGATTTGAAGTGGTTAATATAGTCGGGAAGCGACTTCTCGACAACCTGTTCCACAAGGTATCAGGACCCGGGGAAAAAAATGACTTCCTACTTAAAACTGGAATATGAAGGAGGATGAGGCGTGGTGTGTCTTAGCTGTAGAGGTGTGAAGTGGTGGAACTAAAGAATCTAGCTTTTGTGAACATTTGACATGGAAATAGCGATAGAGTAGCGATAGGCTTCCGGCATATCGTCTGTGGAAAAGGGTTGAAACAAATTTAACACACACAACACCATGTAAATGGTTTTCAGCACTGTTAAACCTGGAAAATGAGCATTTGGTAGCTCCAGCCCACATTTATGTTCTGGACTGATTCTACTAAAATTAAAACACAGTCGGAGGAGGCAGGTAATTTCTAGAGTGGCATTTTTTAATTGTCCGTGAGCAAGCGAGGCAGCATTTTTGCTGCAACTCATTTCATTCTCAATTCCTCAGTCAAAATTTGTTGTCATGAACTCCAGGACACACCAGTCAAATCAAAAAGTTCGTCAATTGTTCGGTGACAGTCTTCCAAGATCATTTCATCAATTTTCATGATGCTTTCAACCGTTCCGGAGGTTGAAGGCCGCTCTGAACGAGGCTGGTCTTCCAGCGACAATTGACCATTCCTAAAGCGTGTAAACTACTCATAAACTCGTGCTTTACTCATGGCAGCATCCTTGTAAGCTGTTTTAAGCATGACAACTGTTTCGGCTGCTGTTTTCCCTAGCAAAAACAGAATTTCACAGCAGCACGATGCTCCTTCCTTTCAGCCATGGTAAAATTAGACGAAAAGGCGTGAAGCACTTCAAAACAAATGAGAACCGCTGAGCTGTACGTCTTCCCACGATGACACCAGTTAACACACTGATGCCTGAGGGTTGCCTCAAGTGGCATCTAGCGGTGGAAGCCTGAACTACTACGGGCTTGTCACACAGAAAACGATTTCGGTTACTTTTGGGTTCCCCTCATATGTATATGAGTCATTCCGTGTCAAATCAACAAGGGTCTAACGATTACCGACAGATTTTTTTCAAATTTGGTGCACGTATAGAACTTCATGATAGAAAATAAATGGTACCTATTTTACATCTCTAGGTCAAAGGGTTTCTGAGATATGACCCTTGTCAAAAATGTGAATTTGGAAAAATAGTCACAAATTTTAAATATCACTTGTTCTTTTACCCACTAAATTATATACCATTTTAATGTACTTGGATCGACCTAAAGGGTGATTTATTTATTTTTTTGATTAAAGGTCAAATAAGCTAATTTAACCTAGACCTTAAAATTTGACCTTCAATTTCTCAAAAACGTATCTTTAATTTAAAAAAAAAATGACAACAAATATATCTGCTTTATGGTAGGATATATATAAAAAACTCATGACTGTGGCCTGAATTAACAAGGTTTTACTGAGTTGGGCCAAATTCAAAATGGCGGATTTTGATATATTAACATTTTCATATTTCCCGATATAGTCAAGTTGTACATCTTTATAAAGATCTTTGAATGCTGATTAATATTCATATAACATCTATTATCTTAAAATCAACAGGATATGTTATTTGCGGTTAAATGTTGAACAATTCGGTAGAAAATAAACAACCTTATTTTTGGCTTTGTTTACATTTTTATTATATAACAAACATATTTTTTTAAAGAAAAACTGACATAATGAAAATAATTATTTAAAAAAAAAGATGTCATGAATTAATGTTAAGATAACAAATTATGAAAATACACAACAAATGATGTTAGTGGCTAACAAATTTTTGTTGACATGGTACACTAAATGCACAAAGCAGTCAAATTTTCAGTATTTTTTTTATATATTTAATAAATTAAGTTTTGATCTAAAACAGTGATACATTGAAATGAATATTTAAAAAAGATTCTTAACATTTACAAAGAGACTAACAAGCAAACCCATTGTAGGATAAAATTCACAACATTACCTGAGTTTTCTAAAAGTACTTCAACATCAACAGAAGACCAGCCACAGCCTTCTAGCATTTTTGTAGATACTGAAAATGAATTGCAACTTCTCAATGAGTTGCTGTCAATGATTGGTAAATCACTAATCAAGGGAAAAAAACTTGATAAACAAACCGGTTATGAGTAATAAAATTATGAAAATTTAAAGAAGTATCAAAGAAAATTAAACTGATTTTGACCAAAATTTCTCATTAAGAATCTACCATTAAGGAAAGTGAAATTATTGCACAATTAAAAGAAAAGTTTTCAGCTTTTTTGTTTTGTTCTCGCAGGCTTCATTGTGTGGTGTCGTCTGTTTGATTCTTCCTGAAGTGTGTTTATTCAGGCAAGAAATGTCATGGATTTTGGTAACACGACAACAAAAGGGAAAAAATCGAAAGAATACAAAAATAAATTTTAGTCGGGTTTGTGAAAAGAGGTCCTATAAACTACAAATGTTGACCATACTTCCAAAAAGAGGGAGTATCCAAAGGAGTCAGATAGAATTTGGCACCATAATATGTATGACAAGACAAGCCAAAAAATTGTAAATTTTATAGAACTCTCTTCCGGCTTCATGCTTTCCAGTCAACTGTATTCCTTAAAAATTTAAATGCAATGTCAATCTCTATCTACTATCTTCTTGATTACTCTTATAAGTAAGTAATGTTTCTGTTTAGTAATGCTTCCACACCCAGTGCCTTAGTGGCTTTACTACCTTGCTTAGGGTGAATTCTGTCTATCTTGGGGAAAATTGATTACAAGATCCAATTTTCCAAATATCACTTTTTTACAGGTTGAATATTATTTTAGGCTAATTGCTTAGAATACGCTGATCACTCTTAAAAGGAGCTACCTTTTGAGTCCATTTTTGCAGATGCTGATACAAAAGCTACGTATGTCAATTTGCTAGCTGGATTCAGGTTGAACTTTTGAGATTAAGATAAACTAATGTATAACTTATTTTTTTAGAGTGTAAACCGGACCTATGTCGTCCTATCTATTAATTCACTGTGATTTGTATCCTGTAATATATCTATCTGGCGTTAAATCACTCGACATGCATAGTTAGGATGTTAAATTAACGAAGTTCAGCTAACCTTTTCATTAAAGAAAGTCACTGCAATCTTTTGAAAACTACACTAGAAACAAAGAAAAGAATACTGAACTGTTACGTAATTTCAGTTCTTGCAGTGAATGTGGGACAATCTCCCATGAAGAGACTTGAAGCAACAGAAATGTGGTTCTATAGAAGAATGGCGAGCTGAAAGAAGAAACAGTTGAAATATCTCTGGCACATAATGAGGAAAGAGGGCTTGGAGAATTTGATGCTCACAGGACACATTGAAGGCAAGAGAGACAGAAGAAAACAAGGCATGACCTGCTTAGCGAACTTGAGTAAATTTATGACGGAGAAAGATTTAGGAGAGATAACAAAAAAGACAATATTTATTAAGAGTTACAGGAAATTGTGGAGAGCCGTAGACTCTGGAAGGGACATCGCACATCGAAGAAAGAGAAGCTGGTACTTTGTACTACAGCAGCAGAACAGGTTGATGCTTTTTATGACGTGTTCATACCATTAACATAGGACGGAAATTGCGGCACTGAAATCTGAAGGCGCATTGGCATAGCCAAAGATGCCTTCCAAAAGTTAAGCAAAGTATTAATAAATAGAAAAATTGTTAGAAACAAAGAAAAGAGTAGTAAACTGTAATATCATATGAATATCCGTATATAGCATTGAATGCTGGACAATCTTCTCACAAATGAAGAAGAGGCTGGAAGTAACAGAAATATTGGTCTACAGTAGCATACTGAGAATACCAACAGACCAAACATGTCGAGGACCACGAGGCTTTAGTGAAAATGAAAACAAAAAAGACACTCATACATATTCAGAGAAAAAATAGTTGGCATTTCTAGAACATATAATGAGGAAAGACGGTTTTGAAAATTTGATACTCACATGGAATACTGAAAGCAAGAGGGACAGGTTTCGGAGAGTTAAGAAAAAGACAAAGTTTATTTAGAGATACAAAAGACAAGAAATTGTGGAGAGCCATGATCACCAACGTCGTGAAGGGATACGGCACATAGAATATGAAGAAGAGTAATCTTTGTTTTATTTGAGATCTTTGTTTCTAAAGAATACATCAAGAATTATATATAATTTCTTTATAGTATTTTCTTGAGATTACTTGCTTTTTCATTTAGCAAAAAACCATGAGGCCGAATGCAAACCCTTACAAGTGATTCCTGCAGCAACATGATTAGTTGATTATCATTGGTCTTCTTTCTAGGAATCCAGTTCTGATAAGAGAGCTTGCTATAGATAAAAACTGATTCTTGTTTATGTCTAATTCTGAAGTATTTTAATTTTGAAGCACAGTGATTTGCTTAAGGGCTGTGGTCTTGGCAACAAAATGGATTCTTCTGCTCAATCAACAACGATTCTCATTGTATTCGTACACTAAAATGGATGAACGTATTGTTAGCGCACTTGAAGCCAAGATTGTACGCCTTAGGTATAAACTGACACATTCGAGATCACAAAGTCATTGACCTCTACAACTACAATGCATTTCCTCAAAGAGCGCCATCCTCAAAATGGGCGGAAGGAGAGAGATGACTTCAGGCAATTGGTATCTAATATGATGTTAGCCATCTTGCCAGCTGGTTTTGACGTTATATATATATATATATATATATATATATATATATATATATATATATATATATATATATTGTAGTTTTTGTTTTGTTCTCGCAGGGTTCATTGTTTGGTGTCATCTGTTTGATTCTTCCTGAAGTGTGTTTATTCAGGCAAGAAATGTCATGGATTTTGACAACACGACAACAAAAGGGAAAAAAATCGAAAGAATAGAAAAATAAATTTTAGTCGGGCAATTTAGAAGGAGTGTGTGCAGTATTTTCTTATTTAATTATAATTCTTTATATGTTAGCGCGTCATTGATTTTGGAGCATTCAAATATAGGAACCACTTTACCAACCCCACCATCAAAATAGTTATTTCCACCAGGATTCAAGCGTTATAATGATACCTTATATTATTTGATAACGATGTAATAAAGAAAGACAAAGAATAAGACAGTATCACTAAAGGTTGAGCATTTGAATCCACTTTCTGCTTGAAATTTCAAGGTCTTAGTTGTACTTCATTTTAGTTACTTTTAGTTAACTTACTTCAAATTTACAAATTTTCGCAGTACTAGATTGGTAGAAACGTCTCATCATTTTATTATTATTTATTATTATTTATGTTGAGGATGCCGGAAGGAAATCCGGTCTCTAATGAATGACCATATTCAGTCACCCCCACCACAAGGCCTTTTTAACGTGGGCATTCCCGAGCCATTAGGCTCGGCCAAAAAATAGCCCATCTGAACGGGTTCAGGGCCGGTTTTACCTCCCCGAAGGAGACTCCGCCCTTCGGCGTAGCTTTCTTCGGGTTCCTCTCAAATGAATGACAAACGCAGAAATGAAATATAGCAAATAAATGTATTTACACAATAATGCAATTGGTAATACGGTTAGTAGATCCAGAAACGTGGTTAGTAGCAATAAATATATATATATATATATAGTCTGGTAAATTCAGTCTCGAAGTAGGACTTCCTTAGAGTCTACGTGCTTGTAACAGTGACTTTTACAAGCGGTTACCTCACACTATTACTCTACCTCCAACTCAATCACAATCACTCTCTACCTGACTCTGGGTATTTAACAGCAGCAGTACAATTACACGCTGGTCGAGTCCACTTGTATGAAAAAAGGGGTGGACCCCATAACAATTTATTTTCGTTTGCCGTCTTGAATATTCGATAAATCTTATTAAAGAAAAATTGCACTTTTCGACAGTATTTGAACCTACATCCCTCACCAAGCTACCGTTAAGTCCGGTACGCTTAACTTATTTTGGCCACGAAGAGCAATCGGCCATATATATATATATATATATATATATATATATATATATATATATATATATATATATATATATATATATATATATATATATATATATATATATATATATATATATATATATATATATATATATAATATTTTAAAAAAAACCCTTCCAAGCGCCTGGTAACAGCCATAGTACGGACTGGAGACAGCCGAATGCTATACCTGTAGGCTAGTGTGACAGATGAGTCACTGATTGTTATTAGCCATAAAATATTTGAAAACAAGACAAATTATGACAGTAAATTTTGTCACTAATAATAAAATATGTATAGTAGACTATACGCTTTGTTGAAATATATATATATATATATATATATATATATATATATATATATATATATATATATATACTTGCAAGTTAGCAAGTCGATTTCTGGTTGTTTTCCCTCTATTGCTCTGTATTGTATTTTTCGGACTAGGTTTTCGTTTCCGTCGTTTCGCAAGGATGAATTGCCCGACATCAAATTAAGTTATCTGGTATATGAATTTAATTGCCAGTGCGCTGCTGGTTATGTGGGGCGTACAACCTTGCATTTGGAAACAAGAATTAATCAACATGTACTTTCTAAAATACGACATGACACAAATAGATACCATGTGTTATCTTCCCTCTACAAATATGGAATCGGCTATTGCTCAACACCTAATAGAGAATATAGCCTGTGCCAAGTCGTATACGAAAGAGTGGTTCAAAATTATTCACATAGCTGGTTCCAACAAGATATATATATATATATATATTAATGATGTGTATGTACATAAATATAAATATATATATATATATATATATATATGCAATTTTCATATATATTATTTATATATTATATATGCGCGGTACTTATTAGAAAGCGCTCAATATCAGTGATAGAGCGTATTTAGTTGGATTGATGTGAGTTTGAGCGTGAAACCCAGGGTCACAAACTCACATCACTACAACTATATATATATATATATATATATATATATATATATATATATACTTTTAAGTTATGCTATATCTATGAGTTAAAGTGCCCAATAACAGAGATAGAGCGTATGAAAATATATTGCCTGATGATTGCGTTTAAGTATGAAACATACTGTCGCCGCTGGGTATTAATCTCAATGTAAACTTATATGATATCAATTGACAATTATCAGGGATAATTCAAAGAGGATATAAATCCAACGAGAGATCAATGTAAAAAACATAGCAAATGATAATTATGAGGGGGGAGACTTTAGAAACCCATGGTTTTAAAGTCTCCGTTTTCATTAATATATATATATATATATATATATATATATATATATATTGTTTATGAAAAACTAGGTAATCCGTATCGGTAAAAACTAAGGAGGATAAAATCCAGAGAGCTCAATGTAAATCCAGATCAAATAATTTAAATAAAAACAAACCACTTTAAGGTTCCATGTAATAAATTATTTCACCACAGCCCTTTTAAAAGGACTGCGGATCATCAGACTTTACTTCCAAAGAAAAAATGAACAGAAAATTTACACTTTTTTGACGGGCCGTATTAAACATATGTAAATTAACGAAGTGAGGAATTTAGGGGGGAGAGAGAAAAGACATGAGTGAGTTAGCAGATATTGACACATTTAAACGGTTAACTTAACAGAAGTTATATATTGATATCGAAGAGGTAGAGAAGAAAAAACTCATAGAGAGAAAAATAGAGAAGGAAGTTAAGAGAGAAGAAGATGTCACTAATTTTCTTTGTAAAAAAAAAAGGATAGAAACAGACGCTGTTATTTTGCTTTACTTTGAAAGTGTTATTTTGGGGGTTCATAAAGATTAATGTTTGATATAAATTTGAATGTCTCTAGACTGTCTACGAATAATTTAATTTGATGTTTGTTAGAGATTTAATTTTTTTTTAATCTTGGGGATTTTCTATGAAATAGTCCATTAGAAAAATATTCATAGAAAGTACAAAATTTTATTTTAAAATATAAGTTTACTTCTAGTAATCTTTTTTAAAAACTTATAAAAAAAAAATTATTTGATTATTAAATGGATATCTCTATCCGTTTGAAATTTGTTCATGAATTTAACTCGTGACTGTTT